ATGTGATACTTGGGATGGACTTCCTAAGTCAACACGGTGCTGTCATTAACCTGAGGTCTGAATCAATAACACTAACCTCGGAAAACACGCTGCTGACGCCTAAGACACCAAAAAATCGGGCATTGGATGCGTTGGACAAAGTCGCCATGCCGCCTCGATCAAGCCTTATCGTTCCCGTTAGCACCAAAACACCCGCAAAAATGGAAGCCGTCGTTTAGGACAGTAACCACTCGTTTCTCAGCCATCAGGTTTGCGTTGCAAAAGGCATAGCCGAGCTGAGTCATGGGAAAGCGAAGGTAATGTTGACTAACTTCAGCAATGGATACAGGCAACTCCACATTGGTACGACGATTGCCTGCGTGGAAAAATGTGTTGGCACCAGCATATCTTTTGCCCTCTCCGAGTCCGATACTTCCGACACTGCTTCCACGAAAAGACATTCCCAACCCGATTTTGAAATTAACCTAAACCTTTCGAAGCACAAGCAAGACCAGCTCGAAGTTCTGTTTCTGCAGTTCAAGGACTGCTTCTCATTGTCTACAAGAATTCGGCAGTCGCGAAACATCGTATGATAACCGAAGAAACTGCCCGAATAATCTGTCAGAGCCCGTGTCGTGTTTCGACGGGAAAACACGAAGCCCTGAAGAAACAACTTAACCAAATGCTACGCAATGACATAATCCAGATCTCCCGTACTGTTCATAAAAAAAATGGAACCCTACGTGTCCGTGTCAACTATTGTTGCCTAAACAAAGTCACGAATATGGACGTGTATCCTCTCCCACAGATAGACGACGGCTTGGATCGACTCCACAACGCTTAGTACTTTTCACCGATGGACCTCAAGAAAGGCTACTGGCGAATCGAGGTTGACAAGAGAGACCAAGAAAAGACTGCCTCTATGGCACCAGACGGCTTGTTCGAGTTCTAGGCCGTGCCTTTCGGTGTTTAATCGGCCCCCGCTACCTTCCAACGCGTTATGAATACTATACTGGCTGGCTTAAAGTGGCAGACTTGTTTTGTGCACCTGGACGATGTTGTGCTCTCCTCAAACTTCGGCGAACATCTCTGGTGTTTTGAGGCTGTATTACAAGCAATAAAGATATCTAGACTCACCCTGAAGCCAGAAAAGTGCCCCTTCGCATACGAGGAGCTCTTGTTCCTGGACCACGTCAACAGCAGGTCCGGAGTTTCCCCAACCCGCGGAAAACAGCTTCCATCGCCGGCTTCCCGCCGCCCACCAAGAAAATGTGCGTCAATTTCTTAGCCTTTGCGTCTATTACAGGCAGTTCGTCGAAAACTTTGCCCACATCACCGAGCCACTTTTTTACCTTACAAGGACCGACGTTGAGTTTATGCGGGAAACCCCGCAGGAGGATGCATTTCAAGAACTAAACCGACATCTACAGACGCCGGCGATACTTGCACACATCGACGAATACGCCAACACGGAAATTCACACTGACGCAAGCTGCATAGGGCTCGGAGCTGTTGATGTGCAGGAATTGATGGACTGGAAAGAGTCATCAGTTATGCTAGGTGGTCACTATCGAAGGCAGAGGCCAACTATTTTACAACGGAAAAGGAGTACCTTGCCACCATCTGGACTACATCAAAATTTCACCCCCACTTTTATGGCAGGCCCTTCAAAGTTGTAAGCGACCAACCCGCCTTGTGTTGGCTGGCTAACTTGAAAGACCCGTCGGGTCAATGAGGGTGAGATTTGGGCTTGTTGGTATAGTAGCATAATAATGAATGGTAGCGCAGACAAAGGACACGGACAAGAGAAGGCACGCGGGTCACCTCGCGTGGTGGAGCCTGAGGCTTGAATAATTCGACATTACCGTCATTTACAAGTCTGGAAGAAAACACTCCGACGCCAACTGCCTGCCTCGTGCCCCCGTCGAACCACCCCCTCAGGACAACCTTGATGATGACTGCTGCTTGGGAACCATAATTTCCGACGACTTCGCCAAGTAACAACGAGCTGACCCGGAACTCAGGAGTTTTGTGGAATACCTCGAGGATGACCACGCCACTGTTCCGAAGGTATTATAGAGACGACTGGCATCGTTCTTCCTGCGAGATAGAGTTCTCCTAAAGAACTTCTCCCCTTTTGAGCCAAATACCTTTTTGTGATTCCCTCAGAAGCGAGACCAGGAGTCTCCCGGGCTCTACACGACAGCCCGACAGCCATCGTGTAAGTCCTGGAGGACTTCTGGTGGAGCTTCGTGGCTGGACACCTCGGTGTTTCCCGTAAGCTCGCAAGAATACATGAAAGGTACTACTGCCTACTACTTGTCACCGACATCACTTGTTACGGCTGCACCTGCCGAGATTTACAGACAGAAAACACCGCCAACTAGGCCAGGTGGACTTTCACAGCCCATCTAGCCACTTCGCCAGACATTTTAGCAAATTGGCATGGGCCTGTTGAGGCCGTTTCCAACCTCGAGTTCCAAAACGAACAAAGCATCGTTTCCGCCAACTACTTCACTTGCTATGCCGATACAATGGCCTTTCCGTAAGGTAGTGCCACCAAGGTAGCTAAATTATTTGCGAAAAACATCGTCCTGCATCCCAGAGGTTCTCATCACCGACAGAGGTACGGCAAACCAGCTTAGGTGATCTTAGCATACAGCCAGACAAGCCAGACAGCATACCACTCACAGACCAATGACCTCACTGAACAGGTAAATAAGACCGAGGTACATGCTGCTCATGTACGTCGACCTCCAACACAAGATGTGGGACGCCATCCTTTCGTATGTGACCTTCGCATACAAAACGACAGTGCAAGACACGACTCGCATGTCACCATTCAAGTTGGTGTACGGAAGGAACCCGGCAACGACACTCGACGCCATGCTTGCAAACTTCGCTGACGAAGAAAATATCGACGTCATCCTCTATCTATAGCGCGCTGAAGAATCTCGTGAACTCGTCCGCCAGCACATCAGGAATCAACAGATGACTGCAAGCCGCCATTACAAACTATGGTGAAGTTTCTTAGAGTACCAGCCCGGCTACCGCGTTTCGGTATGAACGACTATACGCCGACGTGCACTGAGTGAAAAACTTCTGTGTCTGTACTTCGAACCGTACAAGGTAGCCCGACGTCACGGTGCGCTCTACTGCGAGGTTGTCCACGATGGCATCACTAACTCTCAACGGCGCTGATCGTGACCTAAAGTCGTCCATATCACACACCTCAAGCAGTTTTATGCACGTTAATGAACCGAAATAGTGCAGTAGTCAGCTGTTGTTACTGCTGCTGCATTGTAATTTATTACTTGTATTTTATTCCACTCTTATCTACAGGTAAAGCTTCGGGGCAATGTCTTTGTCAAAGGGGGCGATGCCAAGCTCTTTTCTAAAGTTGTGTAATCGCGTCATTGCACTGTAAGTGCTGCTTTGCGAAACCACGCCAATCGGCTCAAGAATCTTCGAGACAAGCGTTCCGATGTGATTGCGCCCGCAATGCGAACATTACAGATTCTTCTCGACTATTACGTGGCCGCTAGTGATAACGCTGGAATATTCGACGGCACATGTACAAATGCCGACGCGCGTCAACGCTTGTCAGTTGATTGACAGCCGACGATCTAATCGCTGCTATCAGTACCCATGTGTTGCAGTAATCAGACCTTCAGTTTCCTGGCCACAACTTCGGCCAAATAAACAGTTACATCTTGAATGTACAGTCTGCTGCATCCATGAACGTCACCACAACGTGTCAATATTCAGCTGCGTTGGCCTTCCATTTTGCGTATTGTCATTCGTCCGTGTATTTTTGCTAAGCCCAGTGATGAGTTCAAGAATGCACCAAATAGCCCAAACGAAAGGGTGTCTGAAAAAATTCGGCAGAACCCACGTACCTGGGAACCGACGTTATGCCAAGCACGCGGAGGGAAGGTGACCGTGTTGCTATTTTCTTATTGAGCGACACGTCATAAAATAACGCTAAATATATGTACAAATGTTGCATGCACAGACATAAGTTGAAGAGTTGGAGATGTTTGCATAACCAGTTGTTTGCATTTGCGTAATGATGTCAACATGAACATGCGTATTAGCAACACCAGAAGTTGATATGAAGGGCTGATGCTCGCGAGGATGCCGGCCCTGGACACTGCTATATAAATCAACTTCAGCGCATGGCAACTGACCACAATTGAAAGTAAGCCGACGTGACAGCTGTACCAAAGCAGTAGGTATGTAATGTTTATAAAGTTTGGTAGGCACTACTGTTACAGTATTGACATTTCACGAAGGTTAGCGTCTATTATGTCGAAAGCACGGGTTTTCATTGAGTAATCTATTTACTACCCTGCTTGGATCATCAGTATCGTATAAACATAAAATAAACAAATCAAACAAGAAATAAGAAACTATATGGGTGTCTTTTTTCCCTTCGCGGTCTATAAAAGCACAATAAACGTGCGAAAATGATAACAGCCTACTCCCAATTTTTCTGTAATGTGAATATATTGTGGCAATACGGGTAAACTTGATTCAGCTTTTTGAACGACTTAAGAAGACTCGAGTAGCATCACACTAAGGCCCGTTTTCTCAAAGTCAGCCTCACGTCGCTACGCTGAGCTGGCACTGCTGAGATTTTTCACTTTTGCTGAAGAGGAACAAAAAAATTAAACAAAAAGATTAGCTTGTTCACCAAACAGACCGAGCACGCGGGTGCTGCTTGCAATGCCGGGTGGTCAATGAGTTGACACGGTGAATACAATAATACCACCAGCAGCAAAAAACGCTTCGGTAACAATAATAACATTAACCGAAAAATAAACAGGTCCACGTGTCTATAACATACGTATTTAATCATGCAGCGGAATACCATACGTAGTAAGGCAGTCATGTCTAAGATTGAGCGCCCATTCGTTTCCCTTAAAAAATGCTATTGCTTGTATTTTCGCTCGCATACGAAGTGGTGCATTTCCTGCTTATCACGCGCAATAATTGGAAAGCGCTGGTCAGCTGCTTACCCGTAAGCGACGTATATGAATCCGAATAGGACCCCGTTGCTTAGCAACCTGAAGAGAGCCGCGAAGAGGGCGACGCGCGAGTTCAGTTCTCCAGCCACGTGACTTCGCACCTCTGCGGACGTGCGGCTGAACTCGAGGCTGTAGTTGTACTGATGCGTCACCGTCACGTTCACGTAGAAGGCTGTGTACACCCGCTCGAGAAAGCTGCGCGTCGCTGAAAGAGAAATCAACGGTTTTTTGTTGCGCCCTTGCCATAGTTCCACATAAAAAAGAAAATTGAGCTTATACCGAGGGGTCACGGTTGTTGTTGTCCATACTTGACAGTAATTAAACTACTTGGGCGATACAGTTAGCTTCTTATGTAGGCTGCTAGTTTATGGACGCAGTGAATTACCTCGAGGAACCAATTCACAAGAAACTGCAAATTATTTGCTAAGTAACTTTTTTTTTCTAAATTGTACCATGTCATCCCTAATGGCATATAAAATTAGCCAACTAATGAAAGGTGACAAATAAGGAAAAGTTCATGTGGGGCCACATTTTGAGCATAAGAACGAGGCAGCTGCTTCTGCGGTGCACCAGAGATTGCAACGTCCGTGCTCTGTAAATAGGGTGCACGTGAGGTAACTCTGTCATGAATGATTAGCCTTTGTTAATAGTAGCTAGCAGACAGCATTGCCAAGAGAAGTATAGAGGATGTTATTAGTATTCGATGTAATTCAAATGTGAAGCGAAAAAGTGGAAGGTAAGATAACTTGACCGGCAGGGACCGAACCTGTGACCTCCAAATAACGCATCCGAAGCCCTATACCAACGGAGCTAACACACTGCCACTTTATGGGGTATACATGTGCACTTAAACGCGGGAGCACGTCAGTCAGCGCCGCCATGACGGCCACAGTGGAACACAATTTGTTGTTGGTTTTTTTTTTTGTTTGCAAACATGCAAAAAAAATGTTCCACACTCGCGTCATGGCTGGCGGTTCCGAGTGACGCTCATTTACGTGCGCGTGTATGACCAATAAAGTGAACAGGCGGATGACCGCCAAGATAGCTCAATTGGCATAGCGCTTCGGATACGTCATTCGGAGGTCGCAGGTTCGGTCCCTGCCCGCGGCCAATTATATTTCCGTCTACTTTTCTTTCTTCGCATTTTCACTACATCTGCTACTTATCACATCGCCTATTCGTTGCTTGGCACTGTTGTCTGTTAGGTATCATTAATATTTAGCCTAACAAAGAAAAACAATAAGTCCTTAGAATTCCCAATTCTAACCTTAGTTAAATTGATTACAACGTGATTTCATTGCCCTTCAAAAGTAACAAATACATTATGCCATTTTCTACAGCCAGTTGTAGGTCGTAATGCAATGTAATGACGTTTTAGCAAAGTCAAGGAAGGTAAAGATAAAATTTCATTACTTTTGGGGTAATGTTGTTGTTGTTGTTGTTGTTGTTGTTGTTGTTGTTGTTGTTGTTGTTGCTGTTGTTGTTGTTGTTGTTGTTGTTGTTGTTGTTGTTGTTGTTGTTGTTGTTGTTGTTGTTGTTGTTGTTGTTGTTGTTTAGAGATTCAAACCTGAGCAACTACTCACCTTCCTCAATCCTGTCGATTACTTGCACCTTGACGAAGTCGATAATGATAGCTGGTATCGCACAGAGGACGGTGATCACTACAGCAAATAGAAGTGAAAAATTGAAAGCGAATCAGATGAACCATTCTGCAAAGAGTCCTGTATTTAAATTCTATGCTTCGTTGGTCAATCGGAATGTCAAGTGACTGATTGGAGAGATAACGGTCGTGCGAGTGTTGAAGAACGAAAAGAGAGAATCGGTAAACAATCGCCTTGACAGCAAACCCACCTAAAAATCTCATTGAAACTGTTTTCTTGCGTTGCTTTCTTCTGTGACACAAGTCTCTTGACTATGGCGCGTGTCCTGTGTGATGTCGCTTAGACCATCTGGTATTAAAGAACACCATATTTTGTCCACAAGATTGCGTGTTGTGGAACACGAAGGCTCGAAAAAAAAGTGAAGCGTCGAAGCACCACTTTACATGCCACAGAGCGAGAGCGTGCAAGTACTTATAGAGTAGTTATAGAATGCAATAAATATAATAATGGAATAACACAATACAACTGTTACAATAAATACTATACAACTTAATATTTATACACTGTGTTACATTAACTCATTCCCTAATCATGACAGTTAAATGACCGTTCCTTCATACAATGTCGGAGTGAAGAAAAATAGATATAAAACAATAAAACTTGGGAATGAGTTGAACTTAATGTGCAGCCTTTGCAAGAAAAAAATGCATCAATGCGCCACGACAAAAAAAAAACACTTTGATTGGAAAGTTTCCAGTTGTTTCTACATCGATACCATATTGATGGAGTTCACTCAACAGTTTTGGAAGCGTGTGATGAAGAATGTGCTTTGTTGGTGTAGTGTGTGAAATTAGTGTTTTCTAGATATCATCATTGCTTGCATTATAAGGCCTTATAAGCGGTGTCAGCTTGAATAATGTACGAAGTAGCCCGTCTGTATCATGCTGACACTTTCTGGCCAGTTTTAATGGGCACATGTTGTGAACTGACGTGATATTTTATTGGATGTACAGGGGTCTTGCGTTGGAAGTTTTTGGAACACACGCAATTTTACGCAGTGCTTTCTTTTGTAATATAATCAAGTGGCTGAGGTTCGTTAATGCTGTGCCCTTGACTAAACAGCGATAGCTTAAGTGGGAAAGAAATAGAACATTCCAAAACTGAAGCTTCAAAGCTGTTGGCGGTGCGATTCAAATTTCTCCAATATTGCTACTATCTTTGCTAGCTGTACACGATTAGCCTCAATGTCCTAAGATAGTGTAGCGAGTAAGGGGGGTGAATCTCGCCACATTTATTCTTCAGGGCCGAGGCAGAGCAGCGGTGCGTGAAGTCGTTCTGTCTTGGCGCGCGCTTCGGGCACAAGCAGCTATCTATGCTGTGCTGCCGCGTCATGCGGCAGCACAGCATCATTCTTCTCCTCTCTCTACACAAGGAGTTGCCTACACGGATGCCTCATGCATGGCTCCTCGGGGCTCGTGAGGCTCCGTTATCTACCATCCACACCTTTCGGCACCTCACACGCACACCAGTGGGCCATACTTGCACCCGCCAAATGTACCTTCGCTCGAGGTCCTTTCCATGGTCCACGCCATGCAGTCATTTTCCTCCCTCCCTTCTCTTCCCCAGTACACGATTTACTCCGACTCTCACGCCGCCATCCGTCAGATACAGAACAACACGTTGCCCTCTGCTCTTCAACAGGAGGTCGAGCGAGCGGCCTCTGCTCTTCAACCCTCCACTGTCTTCCTTCGCTGGGCTTCTAGGCATTCAGGTATTAACGGCAATGAGCTAGTTCATCAGCTTGCCCGCGATATATTGCACCGGGCACCGTTCATTCCTTCGCCCACACCTTCGGAAGACAGTGAGAGATCCGCGAATAACGATGGGCAGATCTCCTTGCGTCGCAATATCAAGGAGGTATATCTCCAGCTCCGGCTCGACAAGCGTCTTTACCCTCCCCCTCATCTATCACTCACTGCGCTCGAGGCTCGAACACTACGGCACATCCAAATGAACTGCCTGATAACCCCCTCTCACCTTTTTCTTTATAAATATAGGTCTAACCCCTGCTGTCCTAATTGCCTCTTCCCATACGCCGACCTGTCACACTGCCTGTTTTACTGCCCAACTGCTCAGCAATCCAGCTATTACCCTCCCCATCCATTTCCATCACCACCTGGCTTCACTGGATCGGCGCCGAAGGGGAAGAAGAACAGCGTCGACTGGTAGCACAGGCGGTCGAAATGCTCGGCCTGTAAATTGTGGCTGAATAAAAGTCTACTACTACTACTACTACTGCTGCTACTACTACTACTACTACTACTACTACTACTTTCCCACAACCGAAAGAGCCGATCGGAAGAATATGACGGCGTGCGCGAAAGAGACGCTCACGAAGCCCGTGAGCAGGTGAATGTCGCCGGGCTGAAAGATCGTGGCCAGCCAGCCAGAGCGCCGGACGTTCGGTCCGAGAGACCACACGGGCAGAGCTGGCGCGACCAGACCAGCCGGGACGAGCTTGGTGTGTTCCGGGAACGAGCTAGCGTTACGGGCCGGGCTTAGCAGCTGTTCCTGTGGGGCTCGAGCGTGCGGGCCAGGAGCCAAGATCGTGGCCTCGGTGCCACGTCCCAGGCGTTCCAGCACAACCCGAGCTAAGACCGTGGCCGTGGTGACACGTTCGAGTGGGCCGTCGCCAGCATGGGCCTGTACGTTCCACGACGAGCAGGTCTTCGTCTACTCCTGCACCTGCGCACGACTTCATCACCGCAACTGTCCGCTTCACCGTCGCTACGTCTGTGCGGTACCGTGAATGACGCTTGACGGACCTATACGTCAGGACGTGCCGTTCCTATCGCGTGTGGGTTAAAGACTCCAGATTAGGACTTAAGAGATATTTGGATTGTTCAGTCAGACAATGTGTGTGTAATTGTGTGTGTCAGGTCAATAAATGTATTTCTTGTTCGTGACTTGGTTTTCCTGCATCTCAGGGCTCAAGAATACCATAGTCAGCGAGAACCTTGACTCAGCTGATTGTCCGAATTCTCGCTGGCCAGTGGCTCCTCCTTTACTGTAGCGAGGTGTCTTTCGAATTGGCAACATTACTCGAAACAATATTGAAAGCATAAAAGAAAGAAAAGCTCAGTAGGTCAGCGCGACTCGAGCTGAAGTCACACGAATAGCAACAACGCATCATGTTGCACACCAAGACCGTGCCCACTGCGCCTCGAAAAATCAACGCGGTAGGGATAACAACCTTCACAAACAGCGACGTGATTTTCCTATAAACAACCAAAATTACGATACCTTGAAAGCAGTATCGTCAATATTGACGCATCGCTAAACAAATTAAAAAAATAAAGCGGGAATCAAACTAAGGTTAAGCGGCACGACCGCATCCAGAACAGCTAGGCGCACGCATCTACCACGACTTTCTCATATGTGTGAGCGTGCACGTGCGTGTGTGTGTGCGTGTGCATGTGCGTGTGTGTGTGTGTGTGCGTGCGCGCGCGTGCGTGTGCGTGTGCGCGCGCGCGCGCGTGTGTGTGTGTGTGCGCGCGCGCGCGCGTGCGCGTGCGTATGTGTGTGTGTGTGAGTACATGCGTGTGTGTGTATGTGTTGAATACATACGCGTGTGTGTGCGTGTGTGTGTGCGTGTGTGCGCGCGTGTGTGTGCGTGCGTGCGTGCGTGTGGGTGCGTGTTTGCCCCGCCGTGGTGGTCTAGTGGCTAAGGTACTCGGCTGCTGACCCGCAGGTCGCGGGATCAAATCCCGGCTGCGGCGGCTGTATTTCCGATGGAGGCGGAAATGTTGTAGGCCCGTGTGCTCAGATTTGGGTGCACGTTAAAGAACCCCAGGTGGTCGAAAATTTCGGAGCCCTTCACTACGGCGTCTCTCATAATCATATGGTGGTTTTGGGACGTTAAACCCCATATATCAAGTGTGTATGTGCGTGTGCGTGTGCGTGTGCGTGTGTGTGTGTGTGTGTGTGTGTGTGTGTGTGTGTGTGTGTGTGTGTGTGTGTGTGTGTGTGTGTGTGTGTGTGTGTGTGTGTGTGTGTGTGTGCTGCTTCCGTTAATCGCAGAAATGCACGTCTAGCTTTTATTGTGTCTCGGTATAGCTGTATACCCTTCCATCTGTTCCGGTCTATTCTATATAATGGAAAAGAACCAGGCTATCCTCCACAACAACGAGAACAGGCGATCCAAGCGAAACCCTCTTTGCTCGTTCTTGGCTTCATATGTGTAGAATGAGCTGCGCTTATGGGAGATATACAAAGAGAGCGTGCATGTATAGGACTAATGCCGTAATATAGGAGCGTACGTTGAATGCAACCCCAATGTATAACTGCGACGACCAGTACAGCTAGCTTGGCGTGGGAACCCGGATCAAATAGAATTCGACACGATAACACTCACAGCCACTCCATGTTCCACGCATATATCGTGTGCCCGCGCCGAACCTGTCTCCGAACGCTGCCTCCACACGGTGCCACTATGCGAGGAAAAAATCGCATTACCGATCATCAAGAGTTCCCAAGGCACAGAGCACCTTAGAGCACACGGTGCCACGAGCGCTCGCAAACTTCATTGCTGCAACAGCTCGACTTTCCTTAAAACGTATACACGGACGCGAAATTTGAATTCCAGTAGTTTGATATTGAGGTTATATTTTTTTATATGTTCATTTATTACTTTAAAAATTGATATGCTCTTCTCAAACAATGTCTTACACCCTTTTGCTTCTTTTTTCTCTGCCAGTATCTATCAGCATTCCTTAAACTCTGTACATGCATCATGTTGTATTCAGTTTGTCATGTGTTATAAATTTAGTAAAATATTTGAGTTTGTACTCTATTTTTCGTGGGCAAATGACGTGCGTTTTTCAATATTACTTCTCAAATGAATCCCAAGTAACCTTTGGATAATCATTCAGCTGTATTTTTAGACTGTTGTATTCTGTACGCTGTTTTTATGTCAATAAAATTCAGTTTATTGAATTCATTTTTAACTTAGGTTTGGAAATTCCGCCAAGAATGGCGCCCCTCATGCAATATGCGGGTAC